GTGGCCAACAAGTTCCTCTTTCCCATGGAAGGCAAATTTTCCTAAAGAAAGCCTTGTGATGTCAAGGTGGAAAAGACTTTTATGTTGAATTTTACTCCTTTCCTCCAAAAGGTACTAACTGGCACAGGTCATTCCAGAACCATCTACTGCATACTGGCTATGTGCCTGCAGGGAGGGACATGGCCCTGCCCTCCAGGGGCCTTTAGCTGTGACATTTGGAGGGCAAAGACAGAAGCTAGGCAGGTCATTGTGCCAGGTGCTGTAGGATTCGCTGGGGCACATGAGGGAAGTGGGGTTGGGGGGGGCAGGGAAGGCGGTGTGGGAGATGAGGGGCCATGGTGTTTACTTGGATGCTTGCTATGAAATAACCTACTCAGTTTCCTAGGCCCAAAACATGTCATTGCAGATTCTTCCTTCCCAGGACGGTTCAGAATTATAGAGAACATCTTCAAAGAGCCCAAAATTGTGTGTGGCACCTTTTCCCTTTTTTGGCAGAAACTCTTTATCCTACCCTGATGTTACACACAACATAGAGACGTGCTGCGTTGTTATCCTTATTATTAGGAGAGCTGCGTTTCTGACAGAATTCCGCCATTTCTGGAATTTCTGAACAGCCTGTCATGGCCCACTCTTTGGAGATCTCTATACCCACCTTTTTTAGGAATGAGTTATACTCTTGTGAATTTCTTCTGTGGGTTTTCACAAAGCCATCCTTTATCCTCCTTGGTCATTCAGCCTGTACATGTTGAGCACCCGCTGTGTGCCAGGCCTGAGCCTGGGGCTAGGACACAGAGGTGAACGTGACAAGGATGGTCCCTGGCCTCATGGAGCTCACAGTCCAACAGCAGCACTGAGCTACATGAATACTGGAGTTTCCCTTTGACAGCTTTCAGTGCTCCTGCTGTGCCTGTCCTCGGCTGCTGTCCAAAGCTTGGCAGGAGCAGGGCAGCCCTGCTCAGCTAGTGTTGTCAGTAACTAGCACCACGTAGGGCACAGGGAAGGGACTCATGTAATTGAAAGGAGTGGGTGATGGGCAGTTGAGTAGAAATGGCTGAGGGTCTCACAGGAGCTCCCCTGTTGGTGGGCCCAACATGTCCTCTGAAGGTTCCTGGGTTCCAGTAGTTGTCAGAACCAGCCTGGTTCCAGCGGGCAGGTGCTGGGCCCACAGACGGCTCGCTGTGTGCAGGGTGGACGTGGCAGGGTAGACTGTAGGTCTTCCCATCTGCCTGGGAAGGTTGCTGCAGGCCATAGAATTTGTCATTTTGTTTTCAGCTCATGCCCCGGGTGCACACCGTCTGGAGTGTTGTCATCAGCCCGTGTACTCACTCATTCCTGGTGTCGGGGAAAATCAAGTTATGCTGCTAGTGGGGGAAGGGAAAGCCGAATTCAGGGTGTTCTGAATTCCTGAGCCCATCGCACAGGCTGGGCTCAGTAAGGGGTGACAGCCTGCCACTGTTCTGTGACGGAATGCCCAGTGCCAGGAGCACGCATTCTAGTGCAATGAGTGTGTTGGCATCCAGAGAGTGTCTTGTCCCTGGGGTCACAGGCACCTGTGTGGCAGGGCCAGGATCCCAAGGACTCCCGAGCCCATGTGATCTCTGCAGTGTTGACTCTGTCTACACACTCCAGTTTGGCAGCCACACGCATGAGCATTGTACACACAATGTACAGGAGAGTTTCTTTTTGTCCATGCAGGCCTGTCTCCTTCTGTCTAATTGGCATTGTTCTAATGCCAGGTAGAGTCATTTAGTTTTTGCCTTGGGAGAATTTAACACCACAGGGTTTTGTGCTGCAAGGAAGCTTATCCTCTGAAGATAAAATTTTATTTGATTTCAGTGATGTCAGGATAACTTGTTTAAGTTGTTTGAGAGACATATTTTCCCTTTCTACTTGGTGACAAATCTAATTATACACTTAGCAGGAGGGGTCTGTAGTGCTCAGTTTAGTCGGTAGGGGCTTAGCTCTGCGGAGACATTCTGGGCGTCTCTTTGCACTGGGGTAGGTGGGGCTGGAGCTGAAGTGCCCAGATGCAGAGCTGGGGGACAGAAGATTGGGATGCAGGGTGGGGTGGGGGGCAGGGTGGAGGTGCTGGGGGCTGTGGAAGTACCAGGGAGGGGAGGGGTGGGGAGGAGACTTGTGCTTCCTGGAGGAATTGCTACTCCAGCTTTTCCCAGCTGGTGAGTTCCCCATGAGGTCATCTGGCTTTGTACCTTAGCAGCTGACTCAATTTCAGATGTCTGTCACACTGTCCCTGCCTCCGTTCACTGTCCATCAGGGTGTGCCTGAAGGTTTCAGCCAGCTCTTACTTAGACCTGGAAGGTGGTCCCGCTGTCCCAGGTGCAGGCGCCTCTTGGAGCAGAGCAGTGCCTGCGTTCCTCGGGCGCCTCCCTGGGGCGCAGGGGAGTAAAAGCCTCAGGGAGGACCAAGCTCCTGCTGTTGGCTGGGCGCTTGGCTGAAGGGTGAGCAAGACCCAGGGCTCCAGGGCGGGTCTTGGGGGCAATTGCTCACAGGGTGGCAGGTGCTGTGTGTGTGAACACCGTGTAGGTGTTCAGGCCCTTCCCTGATGCCTGCATGATGCGTACAACTCGCACTAAGAGCGCACAGCATGGTGAACTTAGTTACTGGCCTTAAAGAGGCAGTTAGTTAAAAAATGCAAAAATAATCTCTGGATTATTTTTGTGTTCTGCCTTTGGAATTGGGTTCTGAAAATTGTAGTTTCTGTGTTTCCATTTCATCCATTTTTTATTTTGTTGTTTTGAACAATTCAATTAAAGATTGATAATTGATCTTAAGGTTGTTGAAATCTAGGGTAGCTTTTAAACTATCCAACAGCAAAGGGTGCCCTTGCAGGGTAGAGAGCCTCATTTTCTTCACCCTCCAAACAGAGGATGCAGCCAGTCCAGTGTTGGGAGCAAGAACTGAAAACCCAGAGTTGGGATAGGAGTGAAGACCCAGGAAAACAGGACTAGTGCTGGTCAGAGTTGAGCTGAGAGCTCACAGATCAGACTCAAGATATTTTAGAAACTGAGGCTGTTGTTAAAACAATAGTAGCAGTGGGCCCAGGCAAGGAGCTTTGACTCTAACCCTCGCAGGGCCCTGCAGGGGAAATATCATCGCCCTGTTTTGTGGATGGGGAGCACAGGGAGGTTAGGTTTAGTCTGGGCTGGTGGCTGGGGGCAGCACCATGTTGGAGCCCCCAGACCCTTTGTTTGAGGGCAGGGGCACATGGGGAGCCTGGGTGGTAGGTGAGCTGGAAGGAAGGTTGGGACCGGGAGAGTGGAACCCTATAGGAATGAAGATGTGGAGGGCACAGTGTGGAATCAGAAAGCAAGGCGCAGACTTAGTGGCTTCCCAGAGACACCCCTTACTCTTTGGTGTTTTCAAGAAGACCTCACAGATTTTACAGCCTAAGATCAATAGTCACCCCTTTGACAAAGAAGATTCAGTGTAGGGGTTGGTATAGGCTGTAAGAAAGTTGTCTGAGGCTCTCCCCACGGGCAACCCCCCCCCCTCAAGGGAAGGTGGGTGAATGGTAGTGATGCTGCAGGTCACGTCCTGGGGAGAGGGGACGGTTCTGGAGCCCTGCCAGCCTGCCTGGGACACGGATAGGCTTCGAGTTAAGCTAACTCAGGCCTGGATTTCTCTGGAAGCTTTACAGGCTGCTGTTTTGTGCTCGTACTGCTCTTTCTACTGAAAGAGAAAGAAGCGCTGGGAACGGCTCATTTGTCTTCATGGAGTTACTACCTGAGGATGCTCTGGCAGTTGACTCTCTGTAGCTATTGTGGGAAAGCTCATGTGACTCACTGGAATCAGAACCTGATAAATAAAGAACCATAAGTTACTTCATTGCTTGTGCCTCTGAGCAACTTCTCAGTCCCCTCCTCTCCACGTGGATTGGAAATTTCAGCTCCCAACACCATTTAAGGCTCCAAGAAGATATTATGGGGTGCTCTCTCTGTGCCTTACATGAGGGTGGAGGCAAATAAAGGCATGATCGTTGCCCTCAAAACCCACTGTTAACACATTTTGGGGTGTGACAGCCGATGTCCACACAAGGTACCAAGGGAGCAGTGAGCCATGGGGGGAGCTTCACAGAGGAGTGGCAGAGTGTACTGCTCTGCGTGGGCCTCGCGACACCTGCTGCAAGCCTTTAGAAAATAGCCTTGCCTCAAAGTTCCCTTAAGCTCTCGCCTTAGACATCACTTCCTCTAGGCAGCCCTGACCGCCCAGAGTATTCTCAGAATTTGTCACCATCTGCAGTTGTGTTATTTTTCTAGCCATAAGTTCCATAAGGGAAGGGCCCATGATAGTTTGTTTACTGTTATTTCCCTGGCGCCTCACATAGTCCTTGGCACACGGTAGATATTCATTAAATATTTGTGAATGGCAAGAGTGTGTTGCCAGACCCTCAAAAATTAAAAGTTATGAATGCTTCAGTGGGTAGCCCGGCAGCCGGTGGCATTGACAGATTGGAAACTGGTTCCCTCTGTACCCTGGAGGGGAGGGTCCAAGGGTAAGCCAGCTGTACCAAGCCGGCCAACAGAAGGAAAAGCTCTTGGTGGTGTCCCTCCAGGCAAATCCATGGGGTCAAGGTCAAATGCTTTGTGCAAGGCTGAAAAAGCACGCCAAGAAGCTCCAGCATCTTCTTCAACTATGTTTCTTCAGTTAGAAATCCTGAGTTGAGCACTGTGGCTCACGGCTATAATCCTAGCTCTCTGGGAGGCTGAGGAGGGTGGATTGCTCAAGGTCAGGAGTTCAAAACCAGCCTGAGCAAGAGTGAGATCCCATCTCTACTAAAAATAGAAGGAAATTAGCTGGACAACTAAAAATATATAGAAAAAATTAGCTGGGCATGGTGGCGCATGCCTGTGGTCCCAGCTACTCGGGAGACTGAGGCAGAGGATTGCTTGAGCCCAGGAGTCTGATGTTGCTGTGAGCTAGGCTGATGCCACGGCACTCTAGCCTGGACAATAGAGCCAGACTGTGTCTCCAAAAAAAAAAAAAAAAATCCTGGAATTGTGAAGGCATTTGGAGGTCTATCTCCCGCTTCTCTCAGGATGAAGAAATGACCAACGGAAGGTCAGGTCTTATTAAGTGGTGGCCGTGGCAGGCCGAGAGCACGGTAGCTGGGAAGAAACCCACCCTGTACTATAAACCCACTGTATCCCAGTACATTTGGCCCTCACAAGATTAGTTCTGACTCTGCCTTTCCTTATAGCTGAAGGGATAGAAATGCTCAGAGAGGGTCTTATCTAAGGTCACATGTTCTGGATCAGAAGGCCTCATTAGAGAGGGCTGAGAATACGGATGGATTTGAACAAGATAGGGAAGCTTACTTAGTCCATCCTGTTGCCGTCTGTTGACTGTAAGCAATCCCCAAAGAGTTGTCTCTCATCTCTGCCTTCAAGATGATGGAGAATGTGCCGGAGCTTCTTGGCATGCTTTATCAAATTTGAATAAAACATTTGATTTGATTTCACGGGCTTGCATGGAGGGACGCCACTCGGAGCTTTTCCTTCTGTTGGTCATCTTGGCACAGCTGGCTGGCCCTCCAACCTTTCCAGGCTGTGGAGGAAGCAGTTGTGCTTGGGCCCTCGGGGGGCCACAGGTTAAAGGGCATGATCATTCTGAGCGTAAGATCAAGGCCGTGTTTGGCAAATGGTCCTCGTAGTTTCCAAGTTTGGGGCTCCTGGAATGAACCTCATTGGCATAGGATGGAGACAGGCGGGACCTGTGCACTGCTGGCAGCTATGAGCCCTGTCGTGGCCAGATGGGAGCATACACCACCTGCCGTCGGCCGCTAAGCCTCAGCTCTACACCTGCTCTCAGCTTGGCCGAGGGAGGGCCTGTCTCTTGCTGGCTGCATGGTCATGAGTGACTGTACCTCTTCAAACCTCAGTTTCCTTTTCTGTAAAATAGGGACATTAATAGTACCTCCTGGTCAGGATTGTCATAGGGTTAAGTGAGGTGACACACGTAAAGCTGTCAGTACACTGCCTGGCAAAGCACAGACATGCTCTATTATGATGCTGCTGCTGATGAAAAGCACTCAGTGTGTGGCGCTTGTTGCCAAGAGGCTTACGGTCCCCCTGGGGGAAGTAAGGCTGACATGCTCGAGCTGATTTTGAGACAAGCTGACTGAGAGGCATGGGGGCAGTGTTTGGAAGGGCGCGCGTAGCTTCCAGCTGGACCAGCCAGGAGCAACCATCCATGGGGCCTTGGTCTCTCCTGTCTGGGAGTGCAGGCGATGCGGGAGACATGGGCGCTGCAGTGTGGCGCTCCGGCATAGCCGGATGGTGTCAGGGAAGGCTCCAATGGAAACAGGAGCTTGGGTCACGGCAGGTATGGTGGGGACTAACTCATCAATGCCCATCCCTTTCTCCTTTCCTCTACCTGCAGTTGATACCTAGGCCCTTGTTACAGCTTTCATTAGCATCTGTTCTTGTGACCTTTGTGTCCCCACTGCATGTGTATGCATCTTAAATGCATGCAAATGACAGTCATTGTGTTTCTGTTCAGGGTTCAGTGTGCCCACCTTGTCCCTGGGACCCAAGGGAGCACTTCTGTGGGGACCTAAGTCTGGAGTGAAATGGCTGGGTTGTCATGCGGCATATGCACATTTAATGACTTAATTGCTGCCTGGTTGTTCGCAGAGGCCTGCCCAGTCTGCTACTCTACCAGTACGGACAGGAAAGGGTGTCTGCCCACCTCTGCCCACATTTGGCCTTTCCTGCTGTCTAGTGGTTGCCCATCTGTAGGGGAAAGAGCTACCTTGTTCTCGGAAACATCCCTCTAAGTACCCACAAGGGAGAGAGTCTCTCTGCAAGGCTGTTAGCGCCCTGTGCTTATGCTCTGCTCTAAAAGTGCTTGTTCATGTCCTTTGCCCATCCTCTAGCAGAGCCCTGTCTGTTTCATGTTGTTGTGCAGATTTCCTGGGGTATTACAGATTTTAGTCACTGTCAATTTAAGACACGGCTTATTTGCAGTCTGTTAACTGTCCATGATGTCAGTTTCTAAACAAAAATCCTAATTTTTGATGTAATAAAATTTGTGTGTATATCCTTATGGCTTTTACTTTAGAAATTTTGTTTAAGGATCCCTATTCTGAGTTGCAAAGGTATTCCTCTACATTTTTTTCTAGCCACTTTGTGGTTTTACCTCTCACATTTTTAATTAATTTGTTTATTTAAGAATGAATGAGGCCGGGCGCTGTGGCTCACGCCTGTAATCCTAGCTCTTGGGAGGCCGAGGCGGGCGGATTGCTCAAGGTCAGGAGTTCAAAACCAGCCTGAGCAAGAGCGAGACCCCGTCTCTACTATAAATAGAAAGAAATTAATTGGCCAACTGATATATATATAAAAAAAATTAGCCGGGCATGGTGGCGCATGCCTGTAGTCCCAGCTATTCGGGAGGCTGAGGCAGGAGGATCGCTTGAGCCCAGGAGTTTGAGGTTGCTGTGAGCTAGGCTGACGCCACGGCACTCACTCTAGCCTGGACAACAAAGTGAGACTCTGTCTCAAAAAAAAAAAAAAAAAAAAAAAAAAAAAGAATGAATGGCAGGGTCTTACTCTGTCACCCAGGCTGGATAGAGTGCAGTGGTGAGATCATAGCTCATTGTGACCTCAAACTACTGGGCGTAACCCTCCAGAGTAACTAGGACTCACCCTATCAGCCTCCTGAGTATCTAGGACTATAGGCATGCGCCACACACAGTTAATTGTTTAATTTTTTTTTTGTAGAGACTGGGTTTCACTATGTTGCCCAGGCTGGTCTCAAACTCTTGGCCTCAAGCCTTTTTCCTGCCTCAGCCTCCCAAAGTTCTTGAAGTACAGATATGGGCCACCATGCCTGGCCCGCCTTTCACATTTTTGTTGAGTGCCTGTGATCTCGTTACCTCTGTTGCCCCATCTGCCACCGGAAGGACAGAGCACGCCAGTCTCTGCTGCTGCTGCCCCGTCTCAGGAGGTCCCTTTCAGGCCTTCCTTCCAGGAGCTCCCCCAACCTCCTGAACCCCATTAGTCCATGAGCATGGCACCCTTCAGGATGAAGGCCCAGCCCTCATGGTCTCTTTCCGCCTGACCCCCATCTCCAGCATCCTGAATTCTGAGTTCCATTCCTAGGGGACTTCTCACAGTGCCCCAAGGTGGCTATGGTGGCACAGCTTCTTCGTTTTGCCAATGCTCTTCCCTCTGCCTGGAACTATTTCTATCACCTCGCCTTTAATCTGGCAGCCTCCCACCTGTCCTTGGACATTCCCATTGGCTCTAGGACACTCTCGCCATCCCCTTCCTCCTAGTGCCCTGTGCCAAAGCCCAAGTCCCTCCAATGGGCAGTCGTTAGGGGAGGGGTGGGGAATCCTTCCCTGCACCTGCACCAGGCACATGTATGTTGAGCACTTGTCCTTAGTATCCTGGTATCTGAGTGGGGTAATCCTGAATTCAGAGGAAATCAGGAATATGGTAGCTTTAGACCTACTTCAAAAATGGCTGTTTTGTGAGTGAATTAATTGATAGATTTGGAAGAAAGTTTGTTTGTTTTCAACTTCTACATAAAGTTATCTGCCATTTGGCCATCTCAAAACAAGCTAGTGTTTTGAAAAACTAAGAGAGATTTTTAATTACAAAATGGATAGAGGAGAAATAGTTAAGGTTTTAGTGTATGATCGATTTGTCAAATATTTGAAAATTTTCTCGCATTTTAAAAATCAGTCATTATACCTCAGTTTTTAAAAAATGTATAAAAAGAGAACAAATTTTACTAAAGAAGAGATGCAGATGGCAAATGGGCACAAGAAAAGATTCTCAGTATCATTAGACATTAGGGAAATGTAAATTAAAATCACCATGAGATATTGCTACACACTAAATAGAATGGCTAAGATTTTAAAAAACTAACACTACTTGGATTGAGACAGTCAGGAGCAAAAAGAAAAAAAATTAACACTACTAAGTGCTGGTGAGAATGTAGAACAATTGGAGCTCTTGTACATTGCTGATGGGAATGCAAAATTGTACAGCCACTATGGGTAATAGTTTGGCAGTTTGTGAAACATACATGTGCATATAGCAATTCCACTCCTAGTCATTTACCCAAGAGACATGAAAACATACCCACAGAAAGACTGTAGAGGAGTGTTTATAGCGTCTTTATTTATAATAACCCCAAACTGAAAGCCACCCAAATGTCCTTCAATGGGATGAATGGCTAAACAAATGGTGGTGGATCCATACAACAGAATACCACTTAGCAATAAAAAAGAATGAGCTGCTGACACAGGCAGCAACATGGATCAGTGTAAATGACAGAAGCCAGTTACAAAACCCAGGCCACATCCTGGGCATCCTGGAAAAGGAGCACAGATCACGGCAGTGGTCACTGGGGCCGTGGGGAGGGCTGGACTGCAGGGGAACCAAGAGAACTTTGTGGGGAGATGGGAATGTTCGGTGGTTTGAGATTGAAGTGGCTAGACAACGGTATACATTTGTCCAAAGTCATCTAAATGTAACTTTGTAAGGGTGACTTTGCCTGTGCGTAGATTCTGTCTCAATTTAGAAAGACAGCCATCATAGCTCTGCTGCTAGGACGACTGCAGCACATTGCTCTGACACCGGTGGTTCATGGAGATGGAAACTCAGAGTGATGGCCTGTCACAAGCCCCCATGTAGCAGTTTCATTTACCAGGGACAGCAGGGCCGATGTTGCTGGAGTATCTCAACACCTGCTGTCTGGCCCATGCCCTTTTCTCATTGCCCCTGTGCTCAACCTGGAGGCTCCTGTCCCCAACAGTGGTCACATGGCTAGCGCAGACTCCTCTGTGGCCTCCAAGACCAACTGAGAGCTTGCATGGAAATCTAAATCTTGTGCTTACTCAAACATTCTTCCTGTATTCATCGCTGCTTTTCAGATTTCAAGAATTGTCATTAAGGCTGGGTGCAGTGGCTCACGCCTGTAATCCTAGCACTCTGGGAGGCCAAGCAGGCGGATTGCTCGAGGTCAGGAGTTCAAAACCAGCCTGAGCAAGAATGAGACCCCGTCTCTACTATAAATAGAAAGAAATTAATTAGCCACCTAATATATATAGAAAAATTTAGCCGGGCATGGTGGTGCATGCTTGTAGTCCCAGCTACTCGGGAGGCTGAGGCAGAAGGATTGCTTGAGCCCAGGAGTTTGAGGTTGCTGTGAGCTAGGCTGATGCCAGGGCACTCACTCTAGCCTGGGCAACAAAGCGAGACTTTGTCTCAAAAAAAAAAAAAAAAGTTGTCATTCAAATAAGAACAGCAGCTACTGTGTGCTTATGAGTTGTACCAATACGTGACTCAAGAAATAGATCCTTTTCTTTTCCCTAAATCTTTTCCCAAGGATTTTGAAAATCAAACAGGTAGGCAGGTTTCTGGAGAGCCAAAAACACATGTTTTGATGGCGACTGCCTACATGAGTACCACTGGTAGTGGGGGGTGAAAACCAGCTCTGCAGCTTGCTTACATGTCAGCTGCAAGGCTAAATTAGGCTGTGATTATCTTAGCTCCTCTTGCCACCAGCTCAGCGATACTGAGTTGCATTTTACTGGGTATTTTTTTCATCCTGCTGTAAATTTCAAAATGACAGCAAGGCCCCATTTTAAGGGAAGTGAGCACGTGTTGTCACTTCCAACGGGTTGTGAAAATGCTCACTTCTGCCTTCCTAAAAGGGGCTGCTGAAGTATGGGGTTGAAGCTCGGGTTGAGCTCTGTGTTTTGAGAAACTGCCAGGCCACACCAGGGTGGGGAGGGGGCTGTGGAGCTGTTCCCACACTCCAGCAAGCCTGTGGAAATCTCACCATGCCTCTGGAGAAAGCTGCCCAGGCCAACCACCCTCCAAGGCTCTTTTCTTTTCACTAGGATTCTGGTTCCCATAGGAATGAGGTCATCTCAGCCTGCCTAGAGCTCACCTTGGGGAATGCCCTTCCTCCAAGTGCTGCCCCTCCCCCTCTCCTCGCCCATCTGTGCAGGGCCTGTGCGCCCTATCCCACTGCAAGGTCGAACCCCCTCTGCCCTACCTCCTCCTGGCGGACCCTCCATATGAGCCCTGTTCCTCATGTGGCTAACTCACCTCGGGACAGAAGCTCAGGCAGTTTGAACTGTTCATAAATCGGAGTTGAACAGGCTGCACTGCTGGTCACTGCAGAGACGCATCTTCACCCTTTTAGTGCCAGCAGACGCTTGCCCCTCCTGTTCTCAGGAACTTCCAGGTTGGCTCTAAACAGATAAAATGGCGAAACGATCAGCCAGGCAGAGACTTTTAGAAAAGGTAAAACCAACTAGAGGTCGACTAAGATTTTTGAGGACAGTGGATCCTCTATTATATAGGATGAAAATATAGATTGTTTTCCCATCATATTTCCTCTGGGTGCTCAAGTATCAGCTACCTTGTATCTTTTCAAATCAGCAGTTCAAAGAATGAAACATGTTGGACATTTTAATTTTCACCCCAAATTAACCATTAACGTTTTCTCATTCTATTATTACTTATAACTTAGGTGACCTAATTTGTCCTTTTGTATGTGGGGGGAAAAAGTAAATTGACCTTTGAACAATGCAGGTTTGAGCTGCATAGGTCCGCTTACCTGTGGGGGTTTTTTGTTTGTTTGTTTGTTTTTTCCAAAACAATCAGCCCTCGGTATTTACAGGTTCCACATCTACGACCAGATGCAGATCCAAAATATGGCACTTGCAGGATGTGAACCCACTGATCTGGAGGGCCAGCTTTTTGTATGTGCGGGTTCCACAGGGCCCACCGTAGCACTTGAGTATGCATACATTTTAGTATCCGAGGGGGATCCTGGAACCGGTACCTCGTGGATACCAACAGACAACTGTAGTCAAAATTCACCTTGGGGCCGGGTGCGCTGGCTCACGCCTGTAATCCTAGCACTCTGGGAAGCCAAGGCAGGCATATCGTTGGAGCTCAAGAGTTTGAGACCAGCCTGAGCAAGAGCGAGACCACGTCTCTACTAAAAATAGAAAGCAATTAATTGGCCAACTAAAAATATATGGAAAAAATTAGCTGGGCATGGTGGCGCATGCCTGTAGTCCCAGCTACTCGGGAGGCTGAGGCAGGAGGATCGATTGAGCCCAGGAGTTTGAGGTTGCTGTGAGCTAAGCTGACACCACGGCACTTTAGCGGGGGCAACAAGAGTGAGATTCTGTCTCAAAAAAAAAAAAATTCACCTTGGGTGCTTGCTTCAGCACCACATATACTAAAATTAGAACAATATAGAGAAGATTAGCATGGCCGCCTGACAAGGATGACATGCAAATTCGTGGAAATTAAGAAAAATAATATTTAAAAAAAAACCCTTTCCTTGGCCCTTGACAAAGCAAATAACAATCAGCTTTGCCATCAAGATGATCTTACCTGGGAGGCCTTACCTGTAATCCTTGCGCACTGGGAGGCCCAGGTGGGATGATCATTTGAGGTCAGGAGTTTGAGACCAGCCTCAGCAAGAGCAAGACCCTGTCTCTACCAAAAATAGAAAAATTTGCTGGGTGTGGTAGCATGCAACTGTAGTCCCAGCTACTCAGGAGGCTAAGACAGGAGGATCACTTGAGCCCAGGAGTTTGAGGTGGCAGTGAGCTATGATAATGCCACTATACTCTAGCCTGGGAAGTAATAATAGCCCAGCATATGATGGATGGCCTTAAATCAGAAGGCTTTAGTTAGATGTCACCTCCTCCAGGAAGCCATCCCTGACTCCTTGGTCTGCATGAAATGCCTTTCTAGGTGTCCTCAATCCTGCACCTTCCCCCATCAAAACTCTTCCTGAGCTGGTCTGCCTGCCTATCTGCCTCCCTCAGTACCCAGCCCAGAGAATATTAAGATGCACCCTGTTCACTGATTTGTATGTTCCTATTAATAGTAAAAACAGGGAGGCTTGTCATGTAACAACACAGTGCCTTTCAAACTGTGAGGACAGGGCCATAGTAAACATGACCCCAGGTGAGCATCGGGGTCTGGATGGCACTGGGGCCGTTTGTGCAGCAGCAAGGGGCAGGTTGCCCCAGTCCCAGGAGAGGGCTGGCAGATGGGAAGTTGCTGCAAGACCCCTGCCTCACAGCTGGTTCTGTCTCCTAGGTTGGGAACTATAAGCGGACCGTGAAGCGGATTGACGATGGCCACCGCCTGTGCAGTGACCTCATGAACTGCCTGCACGAACGGGCACGCATTGAGAAGGCATACGCACAGCAGCTCACCGAGTGGGCCCGGCGCTGGAGGCAGCTTGTGGAGAAGGGTAGGGAGGCCTGGCACAAGGCAGCTGCTCACTAGCTAGGGGGTTTGGGCAAATTGTGACCTCTCTGTGCCAGTCCCTCTCAGACCAGGCAGGAATATTTCTTGCTGTTCGGGAGGGACTGTGGTTTTTATGGAGGAGCAGCGGGGTGCCCGTCTCCAGCAGGCACAGGCTCTGTGAACTTTCGTCTCCTTTCCTTGGAAACACAAGACTACTCTTTGCAAACAGCACCTGAGTCTCCTATTCCAGCCCTGGTTGTCCAGAGGACACACTTACTCTTGCCAGTTTAACTTAGAACTTGAAGAAGTTCCTATCCAGTAAAAGGCCTTGCTGCTCAGCACCTTGCTTTCTAACACTGAGATCAGTTTGTTTTTAAACGTCCCCATATAGCAAGTCAGATAAGACCAGATGGTGACACATGGCAGGCTTTCTGATTTTGAATTTTAAAGGGAATAACAACAGGTGTTGTATGGTGGAGGTTTTGCCCCTCTCCTCCCTACCAAAAAGCTCAGAAGATTCTGCAGCGTTGTGGATAGGGACTGTGGTTAGAACATGCTTCCCAGCAGTAAAGGACCAATTGTGGGGTCTCCTGGGACAGAGCAGATCAGTAGGAGTTTCTCAGGGTGTGCTTTGGGGCAGGCTCTCCTGCCATGACTGCTGTCCTCAGCTGAGCCAACCAGGGGGAGCCAGGCCACTGGGCAAGGGGTCAGCCATGCCTAGACCAGCTGCCTGTCCTTCCCCTCAGTGCTGACATGGGCTGTATTGAGGGCACAGCACAGTGCTTGGCACGGGGCAGGAGCCCAGGTGTGGAGCAGGCACGTGTGGGGGAAGAGGAGCCAGGATGGGCCAGCTCCCTCAGCCGACGGTGGCTGCTGCTGTTCATTTCCATCCCCCCAAGCCCCCTCTCACAGGATCCAGCTGTCAGCGCCATCCCACGTCTTTATTCGGAACTGGAGGCCCTTGCCACCCTCACTAGTGGATCTGGCCACAGCGAGGCAGGACAGGGAGAGAGCATGCTCCTTTTGTAGACACACGGACTCAGAAGGGCTAAATTTATGTGGCCACACTTCTGCCATCCCCATGGCCCAGAGATATGTGCCAGAGGGTTCACACCACCACGCCTCGCACCTCCGTGTCCTCCCTGCGCCCACACAGGCCCTGCCCTGGTACATGCCCTGAGGACTGGCCGGGTCCTCTCATTTATCACCTTCAGCCCTGACATAGCTCCCTCTCCCTCCCGAGCCTCATGCCACCCCACCCTACCCCTACACTGAAATGACAGCCAGATTAACACCTTCCTTCCTTCCTTCCTCGTGGACTGAGAACAGTGGGTAGGGGGTGAGGTGACTCAGCTTCCCCCACCCCCATCGTGGGTCTCCATCTGGGCCAGAGCAGGTTCCTGCGTCCCCTCCCCCTCCTCCCCCCAGACAGGGCTTCCATTCTGCTGAGGAGACCGTCCCCAGTCCCATAGGCATTCTTGAGCTTAAGCTGAGCTGCTGGGAGTGAGCAGAAGTGCTCCCGCAGGGGGAGGCGGCACAGGGCTGGCGAAGGGCCATGCTGGGAGGCATGGTGTGGGGTGCCGAGCACCTGGGAGAGGGGCCAGCTCGTTTCAGAGGGTCTCCCCCTTCTCTGGCCCCTTTAACACATTGACTGCCATGCTGGGGGAAAAAAAAAATTTCCTTAGGGCCATGGTGTTTTATTATGAAAATAGAATAAAAACTTTGAAAACAAAATATCCTATTGGAATTTAAAGAAAAATTTGTTATTTTTTTTTTATTGTTTTCTGTGCGTGAGTTATACACAACTTGAAAAATGGTTCTCACGGCTCCCAAGGTGAAGAGACATGTGAGTTACATATGCTTCACCAGGCCCCAGGCTCAAAACTAGCATGAGTTAAATACAACTCACATGCAGTTAATGTGTTAAGCAAAGTTAGACTTCTAAGATGCAAAACTTGAATTTTTAAAGTGCTCAGTGGCTTTAAAAAAAGGAAATGCATGTAATCTCCCTATTTTCCTAGCAGAAGAGGGGCAGGGCGAATTCAGCTTCAGGAATGGACAAAGGCACTGAGCCAGAGAGCGAGTTCTGAAACAACCAGAGGGAACCTCCCAGCCAGGCCAAGGCTGAAATACCCCATGAACAGCTGAGGGGGGACAGGAAATCCCTGCCACAGGCCAGCGCTGAGTAACCCACAGCTTCTCTCTGTGCCCAGGGCCACAGTATGGGACGGTGGAGAAGGCCTGGATGGCCATGATGTCCGAGGCTGAGAGGGTGAGCGAGCTGCACCTCGAGGTGAAGGCCTCGCTGATGAATGAAGACTTTGAGAAGATCAAGAACTGGCAGAAGGAAGCCTTTCACAAGCAGATGATGGGGGGCTTTAAGGAGACCAAGGAAGCTGAGGACGGCTTTCGAAAGGCACAGAAGCCCTGGGCCAAGAAGCTGAAAGAGGTACATCTGCCTTGTAAGCTGCTTCCCTGCCTGGCCTCTCTGAGCTAGCCACCCACCAGCAGTGCTCCCTCCTGCATGCCCAGAAATTCCTACCAGCTGTTGTAGGCACAGGAGGCCACAGCTGGTAGAGGAAAAGCCACTCCTCAGGCCAGAAGCCCATGGTGGCTGACATTTACCCAGGCTTACAACACTGAGTAATTTAGGTGCATTCTTTAAATTTAATCCTTACCAACCCATTTTACAGATTTGGTAACTGAGGACCAGAATCATACATTGGTGGTAGCTCTTAATTAACAGTACTTTCCCCAACCCTGGGGAAGTGTCTACTGGAGAGACTTAGAAGTCCCTTTGAGCTAGTAGAAAGGATTAATTTAAATGTTTTCTCCCTCTTGTATGGGTTTTCCCCCAGACTTAGATACTGATATCCCTTTTTCTACAAGTAGCAACCGAAGCCATTGAGTCTTACAGAGCCAGAACACACCTCCATGTTTGGGCTATAACAGGCGCTCCTCCTTTTCCCTGTCTTGGCTTTTGTCACATCTCCTCTCTCTCCCTTCTTGTCCCTGGCCCTGTTTGTAATGAAACCATCTCCCCTCCCATGAAACCATTGCTACAAACTCCTCTTCTAGAATGAAACCTGTTCTTTAACTCACATACAGAAGGGTCTATTGAATCAATAAGCGCATACCTGTGTGTGTGTGTGTGTGTGTGTGTGTGTGTGTGTGAGAAACTGCCATTAACACCACGGGGCATGTGGCTGTCACCTGACTCCCAGCAGAGCCCCTCACTGGTGTTAGGTTCCTCTTTGGATACTTTGTATTGCTGTTCCAGCCGCCTGGCATGCTCTCTGTGGGACAGCATACCTCTTCCTCGTGTGCTCCCTGTCACCTCAGGTGGCTGTCTTCAGCCCTTTCACATGAAATTCTGTCACCCACCCCTGGTGCTCCCTGCGTTATTGTCACACTTAGCACCTTCTGATCATTCCAGCTTTTAATCTCTCCCATACTGTACCTTCCTGCCCCAGCTCCTGAATGAAAGCTTCAGGAAGGCCCAGGTTCTTTTGTCCCATCCTGTGTCCCTGGTGCCTAGAACCGCATATGACACAAAGCAGGCACTCAGTAAATTTTGTGGAGTGAATTGTTGTTACGGGCAGTTGCTGTCATAGTACACGGACAACTTTGTACCCCCATTTCTCTCCCATCCTGACAGCACAAGCATTCTCAGTGGCCTGTGACCTCTAGTGAGGGCTCTGACCTTTCAGCCACGGGGAACTCAGGTACTCACTCTCCCTGCAGGTGGAGGCAGCAAAGAAAGCCCACCACACAGCGTGCAAAGAGGAGAAGTTGGCCATCTCACGAGAGGCCAACAGCAAAGCAGACCCGTCCCTCAACCCTGAACAGCTTAAGAAATTGCAAGACAAAGTAGAAAAATGCAAGCAAGATGTCCTTAAGGTAAATCGTGTGCTTGTTTTTACGTGTGGAGTGTCAGTGTTACTTGTTCACGTGTCCAGCACACAGCATGCCTTTGTAGCTGCTCAGTTGGGTGGGTGTGTAGAGGGGTAGATAGCAATAAAACACATCCCTGCCCTCAACAGGGTGGCACAGCTGAGCACCCTGGCACCTTACCTTATCATAGCCATCGCACCTCCTTGGACAAGGGCCGGAACCGGGTGCTGGGCAGGCATAGTTACCTGTACTCAGGGACACAGGTCGGCTGGGATTGCTGGGGGAGCAGCTTGTGCCAGAAATGCAGGCGTGGAGGGGCGTGGTCAACGTAGAGACTGATGCATAAGCTGTCGTAGGGGACTGTGAGGACCCAAGTTGCCAGTGGCCTGGACAGCCAGGCTGAGGGAGTTGCTTAATGCTGCTGACGGGCCACCAAGGAGGGCCTGGAGCCTGGGGAGGGGAGGACAAGGGTAGAGGGCCACTTGGTTCAGAAGGGTTGCTCTGGTTGTGCGGGGAGGCCTGGCTGGCGGCAGAGACCTGGTGGAGGGGATTGGGGGTGGGAGAGCTTATCTGGGAAGCCAGGCCAGGAGGGGACAGAGATGCCCTGCAGCCTCATCAGTGACAGGCCCCAAAGAGGAAGGCAGAGGCCGTGGAGCCAGGGTGGCGGGATGGTGGTTTGGGCCAAGAATAGAGAGTGAACAGGCAATGTGGTGTCCTGGGTGCCCTTCCCTTTCTGTTGTGAAAGGAGATTCTCTGCCTTTGTGAGTTAGTGAGACAATCAAATGACATGATTTTGCAAAAACACTTTGTAAGGGGTGAAGTGCTCCAGAGATGTAGGAGGTAATTCTGCCTGGAAGGCCCTAGAGTCACTGGATTTAATGGCATCTTCGTGTAACTTACAAGTTCCCAGGAGGTGAGAGGCTTGGCCACCGACCTCCCTCACTCTGTCATAAGGGGGCGAGGGCTGGGGGGTTTCATTGCCAAGGGCCTGCTTGCTTCCGTGTGCGGAGATTCCCAGCCTATGCTTGCAGAGAGAGATGGAATGAAGCGAGTGAGGGCTGTACCCCAGAAGCAGGACTGGAGGCCGGGGGAAGCAGGAGTCCAGAGCAGATGGTTACTACCTACCACGCTTGCCAGGCCTCAGACAAGGTGGGGCATCTCTGTTCTGGGTGGGGGAAACCAAGGTCAGAGAGGTTAAATCACATGCCACCGGGTAATGTGAGTGCAGGGACTTGTGAGCCCAAAGCCCGAAGCCTTTCTCTACTGTGCCCCGCTGCTGTGTCGTCAGCGTAGTGAGGAGGCAGGTCATCTCCATGAGAGTTCATCACTCAGAGCAAGTGCTGGATCTCTCAGGGAGCATCCCCCATTGCTGGGGCCAGGAATCTGGACTTTTGGAATAGCCCAGGTGCCTCCACTGTGGGACCAAGGAGGACCCTGGACTGGGCTGCTGAGTGAGGGGCACCTAGGCCAAGAAGCATAAGGCCCGGGGGACTCTTAAGGCCTTTGCCAGGATCCCAGGGAATCAGATGCCCAGGCAGCATGTCCATGTTGCGGGTAGAAGGGAGGTGAGAGATGCCTTTCATGTTTTACAGGCGCCTGGAGTGCCAGCACCCATTGGTGCTCTTGCAGAACAGACACAGGGCCCGAGGCCAGACATAACCATGTGTGAGGATGATGGGGGCACTTGGTAGTGGGCTGCTTCCTGGGCCCTCCCTGTCTCTGTGCCTGGCCAGTGACCTCAGAGCATAAGTGGTCCTTGTGGGCCTGGATTCCTCAGAGGAGGACAGACCCTTCCCACTGCCCTTCTTGAAGCAATTTCTAAAAACCAGCATTGACTGGCTGCACACGTACTTTTGTAGTGGCAGGGTAGCAACTGCATCTCACAGTGTCCATCAGAGAGGAACTTCTTGCTTCAGTGCTAAAACACTACAGTCCGCATGAGGGTGAAGGCTGCCTGTCATTCCACCCTGTGAATGTTCGCTGGGAACCTCCCGTGTGCTCCGCAGGGGGATTTACTGAGTGGTGAGGATGCTGCTCTGTACCCGCCTGTGCTGGGGCTCAGCACGGCCGGCACAGGCCAGGTGTGGAGGAGCCTAGGGAGGGGGCACCCTCTTGCCACTGGGTGCCCTAAGGGCTCCCAGGAGGCAACTGTACCTTGAAGGCTCCCAAGAGGTGGCTGCACCCTGTGTCACTCCAGTGGCACCCCCTAGATGCTGAGTTCTGAGCCCACAGCTGCGTATCCCTGGTGTCTGAGCTTGGGGTCCCACGTGGGGCTTCTGGGCATTGGGCACTGGGCAGTGTGGAAGGGTGGTGGTGGACAGCCACAGTCGCTGTGGAGCTGTTCCTGCTGGGAACACCCCAACTGGCAGGGATGGCCCTTTCCTGTGGTCGCGGAGGACCAAAGGCCAACCACCTCAGGAGCCTTGAAGCAGGAAGGAACCACAGATGGCAGGAGAAGGGCATGGGGCCAGGGTGGGAGCCCCAGGGAGCATGGTGGGGCCTGCCCCCTCAAGGCTGGGGAAGGCTTCCAGAGGGGACTCTGGAGCGTGAAGAGGAGTCGTCCAGGACATGAGTCAGAGAAGGGCATCTAGGGAGAGAGCAGAGTGGACAGAGGAGACCAGCATCCCAGGTAGGCAGAGAATGTGCTCCAGAGGCCTCTGGTGGCCCCACAGTGTTATCAGGGACAGCATAGCACAGTTTCCTGGTGGAACCTGTGGCCACCTCCCTCATTGCTCAGGGTCTCAAGAGGGGAGAGACTTGCAACATATAGGTGGTCCCCACCCTGCCATCCCTCACTTCACAGGTGGCCACCGTGGTCCCACCAACTAACAAAAACTCACTGCACACTGAGGGGGGGTCCATTGACCTCAAAGCCCATCCCTGCCAGATGCACCTGCTCACTTTAGCCAAGTGTTAGGATTTTACGCATTTTCTAGCTGTCTCTAGATCCTTTCTTGAGATGGGCCATACCTGCTTTTAACAACTCTTTTCTTGTAAAACCCTTCTTGGGACAGTCTGGTAGGGAACAGCTTCCTGAGGAGGAGGAGTGGCCTGGAGAATAAGCAGGACTTTCTCGAATGCTCCTGGCACTTAAATATCAAAGCACTAGGAAGAAGAAAGTGTCCCCATTGTTTGATAAGGACAATGAGACTCCAAGAAAACAAGAGTGAATGCCAGCATTCGGCCCAGCCCTGAACTTGTCTTCAGGGTGATTCACCGAGCCACTGCTGCTGTAGGCCAGGTCTGAGGCCCAAGGGTGACCCAGCCAGCCCTTCCTCACAGGGAGAGAGGCCAAGGGTGTGTGACATGCTCGGGACCATGCACACAGAGCCCCAGGGGAACTGCTTCTTTGCCTGGTCTACCTGTTTACACCATGATCCAATGGAGAGGGCAGATGCCAGGAGTGTCATTTACCTTGTAGAAGTGGAGGGACTGGGGCTTGAACTTGAAGTCTGTCAGACTCCAGAGCTCCAGCTCCTTGGGTTTGGAATCTGGAGAGTCCTGAGAAGCTCCAGGGGAGGGTGCGGTGAGCCGAGGGCGAATGGAAATGAACCCTCACCTTGTGCCTGGGTTTTCATTTAGACCAAAGAGAAGTATGAGAAGTCCCTGAAGGAGCTTGACCAGAGCACACCCCAGTACATGGAGAACATGGAGCAGGTGTTTGAACAGTGCCAGCAATTTGAGGAGAAACGCCTGCGCTTCTTCCGGGAGGTTCTGCTGGAGGTTCAGAAGCACCTAGACCTGTCCAATGTGGCCAGGTAAGTTTCTTTTGAGCTGAAAAACACATCTCGGTGAGGTAAGTGCAAAGTTGCTGCTCTCAAGGCTTGGGTTAGCAGCATGAATCAGAAGTCTTCTCTCGGTGGGTCGGTTCTCCTGCTTTTCTGTCATCTTGATGCCCAGGGAGGGCCCTTCTGCTGGGCCCAGGCTAACTGAGGGGACATAGACTTCTGTCATCTATCTAGCAAAGCCGCTTAGAAACGAACCTCAGGTCAAGGCTTGTTAACAGGAAATTACATTCCCTTTGCCTCCTGTATAGGAATAGTCAAAAGCATAGCTGCTCTGCCACCATTCAGAGTTCATGACAGTCTTATAAAGTAGGTGGCACTGTCCCCATCTTATTGATGAGGAAACTGAGGCTGGGTGAGGTTAAATGACTTGCCCCAGCATGTACAGCTGGCAAGGGGCAGGGCCGGGCTTGCATCCAGCTTTTCTCTGTGTTGCGTAACTTCCATTGTACATATGACTGTCTTCCCTCTGTGTCTGTCTCTGGGTCCAAATTTCTCCTTTGTGTAAGGACATCAGTCATATTGGATTAGGGACAATTACCCCTACAAAGACCCTATTTTCAAGTAAGGTCACATTCTGTGGCATTGGAGTTAGGACTCCAGCTTATCTTTTGTAGACAACACAACCCAACCCTTAACAGAAGGCATTATGCCTGCTCAACGGAGGAGGACACTGAGGCCTGGCGAGGGAGCATGACTTGGCAGCCATACAGATTATAAGTGAGACTATCAGGTCCAGCAGTGGTCCATACCACTCCCCTCTGGGGCAGATCCCTGGGAAGGTGAGATCAGAGCTGCCAAGCAGAAGGCGTCCCCCACTCGTCTTGGTGGCGGTGTCCTGCAGCACTGGGGGATCTTCGCATCCTGTGTTTGCACATCTGGATGTAAACCCTCCAGCTTTGCTGACATAGATGAGGGACGAGGACACTTGCTGGCATACTCTAGTTTTCTCTTCCTCAACTCTGGACTTGATCCTGTGGGACCACACAGAGTGGTGCCCACGTGGTCCACATGCCAATGCCTTTTGCATTGTCTGGCACAGAGCAAAGCTCATTTGTTGCCCCCTGGTTTGATTTAAAGCCCATTTGTCAAAAGCTGAAGCTGTGGTGGTTGTCTGTCCCCATCTGGGCATGTGGTGGCCAGGTGACCTTCCGCCTCAGCCAGGGGAGGGGTGTCCCTGATCTGTGTCTGTAAAATCAACTCTAGTGTGGGCTGCAGAGACCACAGAGACTGCTGTGGCTGGTGCCTGCTTTCCAAAAGAGCTGTGCTTCTCTCCCTGGTTTAGCTACAAAACCATTTACCGCGACCTGGAGCAGAGCATCAGGGCAGCCGACGCGGTGGAGGACCTGAGGTGGTTCAGAGCCAATCATGGGCCCGGCATGGCCATGAACTGGCCGCAGTTTGAGGTAAGAGGAGGTTGCACCCCTGACCCCATTGGCCTGGGAGGGGACCTGGGTCCACAGAGTTGAATTATACAATGTCTTTCTTAGCTGGGCATGGTGGCTCACACCTGTAATCCTAGCATTCTGGGAGGCTGAAGCAGGAAGATCACCTGAGCTCAGGAGTTGGAGACCAGCTGAGCAAGAATGAGACACCATCTCTATTAAAAAAAAAAAGAAAACTTAGCCGGGCATGGTGGCGCATGGCTGTAGTCCCAGCTATGTGGGAGGCTGAGGTAGAAGGATCTCTTGAGCCCAGGAATTTGAGGTTACAGTGAGCTAAGATGACAACACTGCAGTCTAGACAGGGCACAGAGTGAGACTCTGACTCAAAAAAAAAAGTCTTTCTCATTCTGGATTCTATGTTGGAGTTTGCCCTGTTGATGAGGCAGCCTTTATGCATAGCCACAGTACAGACCAAGTTGATGTTTAGAGTCCCAGGAGTCTTCAGGCATTTACTGAGGCCTTCTGAATCTCTAGTGATGGTACAATTATATTCTTTCTAGTTAAGAACGTTTGACTGTCACTTGTTAACTACTGGCATTCCCTTCTCTCCTAGTGAGTCACAGGAACTGCAGGACACACAGGACCTTGGGTCCTTGCCCTACCCTACCCTGCAGGATGGCCAGGAAGTGGGGGCAACCACAGTGCCCCTGGACCTCACAGTGGCCTGGGGAGGGGAGGCAGTCCCAGTGGGCAGCCCTCCTTACCCTTCAAACAAGGGACTTTTCCACATTCCAGCCGTTACATTCAATTAATCTTGCTTCAAAATGAACTTCCCGGCCTGGCGCGGTGGCTCATGCCTGTAATCCTAGCACTCTGGGAAGCTGAGGCAGGAGGATAGCTCAAGATCAGAAGTTCAAAACCAGTCTGAGCAAGAGTGAGACCCTGTCTCTACTAAAATATACAAAGAAATTAATTGGCCAACTAAAAATATGTAGGAAAAATTAGCCGGGCGTGGTGGCACATATCTGTAGTCCCAGCTACTTGGGAGGCTGAGGCAGGAGGATTGCTTGAGCCCAGGAGTTTGAGGTTGCTGTGAGCTAGGCTGATGCCATGGTACTCTAGCCTGGGCAACACAGTGAGACTCTGTCTCAAAAAAAAAAAAAAATGAACTTTCCTTTTTATGGGTCTGAGCCCTCTAATAGCTTTACAAAATCCGAGAGCTTGAGGATCTCAGGACTCATCCAGCTCTAGAGTTGGGTCACCGGGCGCCATCTGGCCCTCCAACGGTAGGTAGCATAGAAGGCAGAGGCCAAAAGTCTTGCCATGCCTGTTCCCTCATGACAGAGGCTGAAGCACGTGGTATCTGCCCACCCAGGGAGTGATGTAAATCATTCGCTCTTTTTTGCGACTCAGCTTTCTTGTGCATAAAATGGAAATGACAACAGCACACACCTCCTCGGGTTGCTGGGGAAGGCGGTAACCTGGTGCATGCAGGGCTACTGGCCCAAGGTCCCACCTGCTGAGCAGTGACTCTTGTCAGGCTCTCGCCCTGGCCCCGGCCCACTGCACAGAAGCCTCTTTGGTTCCTTAGTTGCATTTTTGTCAGTCCTCACACTTGGGCTTCTGTTTTCTGGACCTTCGCAGGAAGATTTCTCCAAATGACAGTGTGGGGCCTGCAGCTGGGTACCTCTGCACCATCCTCAGAACTTGTTCCAGCTGGAGGCTGCAGAGCAGGCTGTGCCCCTTCCATAGGGGCCTTCCTGAGTGGCAGGGGCCCTAGAGGGACAGCACAAAAGCCCAGCAGGTCGGCACAGAAGCACACTGATATATTTTGTGCACAGCTGGGGTTTTGGCACACAGCAGGTGTCTACTGTCCCTAGCGTGGCACAGGAAAGCCCCTGTGGACTCACCTGGCTCCCTAGAGGTGTCCGCTGACACTGAGAGGACAACAGTGGGGAGGAATATTTGAGAGCCTGTCCCACGGGGGTGGGTGTCCCGGCCGGAGCCCACGAGGCCCTTCTCTCTATGGATCCCTGGGCTGGGACCAGCACAGTTTGCAGCTGTTGTAGGACGTGCCTGACTTTCTCTAATGAAATTATTTGTTTTTATTTTCCATGCCACAAGGATGAAGTAAGTGTCTGTGTTCCGGCTAACTCACTGAGTGCCAAGCCCCCTGTAGCGTGTCTCCAGCCTCTGGGGTCTCTCTGTGTGTGGCTCCCTGCCTGGCTTGCAGCCATTCAGCCAAGGTGGCCTTGTTGTCAGAATTGTTAAAAGCTGGCCCTTCCATTCAAAGTCTGCTCGATGTTGACCCGTCCGCCCTCGGAAGCCGCCTAGTCAGGATAGATTTCTATTCAAAAGTCACTATGGCGAGCTCTGAGGTTCCAATTTGAGTTCAGTTAGGAAAATAATTAATAGACCAAAAAATGACCCACATTTGGAGTCAGGGGCCCAGGTCTGCCACCTATTCTCTGAGCAAGTCACTTTTCCTCTCTGGGCCTCAGTTTCCTCATGTGACAAACCGATAGGTTAGACTTGATGTTTCTAAGATGGCTTATAACCTTGACGTTCTGTAACCGCACGTGAGCAAAGCTGTGGACTCAACCATACAAGTTTTTTTTTTTTTTTCATACAAGTTTTAATTAAAGTTGTTTGATGATGGGTGGACATGGGAGAGTTCATTAAATGCATGTGTGCATGCACACGCGGACACATGCACACACACATGCTTTTCTGGGGAATCAAGACATAGCCTTTGTTCTCTGCCCTCCTCTGTTTTCCGCACAGTTGATAAAACCTGTCCACTGCTAGGAAAGTACTATTAGGTTGGTGCAAAAGTAATTGCATTTTTGGATCATGAATTTTAGATCGTTATATTTGGATCATTATAATTAGGCTCGAACACATCTTTGTTAATCAAAATAGGAACCATTACAATCAACACACTTTTGCCAATGAGAAATAAGTTTGTTTATTCCTATAGTGAAAAAATTCATGCTTCAGGATTCCTCAATTTCTTGGAAAGCATTTTATGCATCCTGCTGGTTGTGGAAGCGTTTTCCCTGTAACAAGTTGCTGACCTCTTTCCATGCTTAGCGCAGCCATGGCCCGCGGTCCCAAGAAGCATCTGAAGCATGTAGCAGCTCCAAAGCATTGGATGCTGGATAAGCTGACCGGTGTGTTTGCTCCTCGTCCATCCACCGGTCCCCACAAGCTGAGAGAGTGTCTCCCACTCATCATTTTCCTAAGAAACAGGCTTAAGTATGCCCTGACAGGAGATGAAGTGAAGAAGATCTGCATGCAGCGCTTCATTAAAATCGATGGCAAGGTCCGAACTGATATAACCTACCCTGCTGGATTTATGGATGTCATCAGCATTGACAAGACTGGAGAGAATTTCCGTCCGATTTATGACACCAAAGGTCACTTTGCTGTTCATCGTATCACACCTGAGGAGGCCAAGTATAAGTTGTGCAAAGTGAGAAAAATCTTTGTGGGCACAAAAGGAATCCCTCATCTCGTGACTCATGATGCTCGTACCATCCGCTATCCTGATCCACTCATCAAAGTGAATGACACCATTCAGATTGATTTGGAGACTGTCAAGATTACTGATTTCATCAAGTTTGACACTGGTAACCTGTGCATGGTGACTGGAGGCGCTAACCTGGGGAGAATTGGTGTGATCACCAACAGAGAAAGACATCCCGGGTCTTTTGATGTGGTTCATGTGAAAGATGCCAATGGCGACAGCTTTGCCACTCGCCTCTCCAACATTTTCGTTATTGGCAAAGGCAACAAACCATGGATTTCTCTTCCTCGAGGAAAAGGTATCCGCCTCACCATCGCTGAAGAGAGGGGTAAGAGACTGGCAGCCAAACAGAGCTGTGGGTGAAATCGTCTCCATGTAACATAATAACATGTTAAAAAGTTATTTGTACTTAATTAAAGATATTACAGTGTGGAAAAAAAAAAAGTTGCTGAGCTTTGTGCACTGGCAGTATCGTAGCCAATGACGTTCATTTGAGGCATGATTATTGCTAATTGAAAACTTTTTTCCCAATACCCCGCCATGATGACAAAAGTTTTTACATTTTAAAATTTAAAGAAAAAGTTGTCGAGATGCTTGAAGAAGTGGTAGTGGGTTGAAGAGAGGTCAGGTAAATACAGCGGATGAGGCAAAACTTTGTAGCACAATTTGTTCAACTTTTGTAGCATTGGTTATGCAATGTGCTGTTGGGTGTTGACTTGGGCCCTTTTGTTGGCCAATGCCGGCTGCAGGCATTACAGTTTTTGGTGCATCTCACTGATTTACTGAGCAGACTTCTCAGATCGTAATGGTTTCTCTGGGATTCAGAAAGCTGTAGTGGATCAGACCGGCAGCAGACCACCAAACAGTGACCATGGCCTTTTTTTGGTGCAAGTTTGATTTTGTAAAGTGCTTTGGAGCTTCTTCTTCGTCCAGTCACTGAGCTGGTCATCACCGGTTGTCATATAAAATCCACTTTCGTCACGTCACAATCTGATCGAGAAATGGTTCATTGTTGCGTACAAGAAGAGAAGATGACATTTTAAAATGATTTTTTTGATTTTTGGTCGGCTCATGAGGCACCCACTCATCGAGCTTTATTCACCTTTCCAATTTGCTTTAAAAGCCAAATGACCATAGAATGATCGACATTGAGTTCTTTGGCACCTTCTTGTGTAGTTTTAAGAGGATCAGCTGCAATGATTGCTCTCAGTTGGTCATTGTCAACTTCTGATGGCCCGCCACTGCGCTCCTTGTCTTCAAGGTTCTTGTATCCTTTGCACAACTGCCTGAACCACCCCTGCACTGTACGTTTGTTAGCAGCTCCTGGGCCAAAGGCATTGTCAATGTTGCAAGTTGTCTCCGCTACTTTATGCCCCATTTTGAACTCAAATAAGAAAATCTCTTGAATTTGCTTTTTGTCTAACATTTCCATAGTCTAAAATAAATATAAAATAAACAGCAAGTAATAAATCATTAGCAAAATAACAAAGCAAGAAATACACATTAAAATGATGTATAACATAACCACATTTATTTAAGAATGTATTCCAATATCAAATGGCAATTACTTTTACACCAACCTAATAAAGCTTCAGGGAGATAAACACTCGAGTTGGCCTTGTTAGCCCCAAGCATGCTGCTCAGATTAAGCAGAAGTTCCAGGGTGAACGCAGCAGGGAGGGCTCCGCTCCTTGGAGACTTGCATGGTCAGAGTCTGCTTGCCTGTCCCTTTCGTTAGCGGTAGCCTCCTGGCCCCTGATTTTATTTGCCATCCAGGGTTTGGTTTTCCATATGGCAGGCTTACTCAGCGTCCCTCAGCCCACTGTCTCGACCCTGTAATGCAGAGACAGTTTAGGCTAGCTCCTGTCTCCTTTCAGAGGCTCATGGGACACAGGGTGGGGATGCTGGAGGTCTGAGGGGGCTGGGGCTGAGAGCCATGCCAGGCAGGGAGCAGGACTGGGAGGGCCTGGGCAGGAATGCAGGATGCTGTATGTTGGCCCTGGTGTGCTGCACCCACCTGGTGTCCTAGAAAGTCTGCTCCTCCCAGGAGGGGGTGCACATGTGAGGATTGGGCAGTTGTAACAGCATCGACAGCCAGGCCCTCTGAGGAGTCCCCACTTTGAACAGCGAGGAGGGCGTTCAGGTCATTTGGGTCCATAGGTGGGCATGGGAAGCCCGAGGTCTGGAAGACAAGGGACAGTGCTGGGTGGACGTTGTGGATGGATGTGGTTTCCAACAAATGAACCTCCTGCTTTGCCTCCCTGGACACCTGTTGCCTAGGAGTGGTCTGCAGACCTGAATCGAACTCTCAGCCGGAGAGAGAAGAAGAAGACTGCTGACGGTGTCACCCTGACAGGCATCAACCAGACAGGCGACCAGTCTCTGCAGAACAAGCCCGGCAGGTGAGTGGGTGCAGCCTCATTCCATCCTGTGGGAGGGGTCCCCCAAGTTTCTTCGTGGTCCTAGGACAGCCCCAACATGGACAGCTGGCAAATTCCCCAGTTTTGTGGAGACCGCCAGGGGCTCCTTTCCAGAAGCTTCCTGGGCTCTGTGGGCAGTTGGCCCAAGGACATGTCTGGGAAGCATCATCTTCCCTCCAGTGCTGGAGCTGCTGAAAGATCCAAAGCGGCAGCCTTTGCCATCAGGCCCAAGCGATGGGGGGACCTTTTGTTAGGGCTGGTCACTCGTGTCCCCAGTTGTGTGGCACTGCCCTGCATGGATGTGGCAGGTGGAAGCACACCGTCACTGGTTCCCTTCAGGCAGTTCGGGTGCTGGCAAGCTTTGTGCTTATTTTCCATGTTGTGTGCAGGTGCCAGGGGAGGTAGGGGCAGGAGAGGACTGCTAGGTGTCCCCTTTTAAATCACCTCTTTGCTGAGAGTATTGGTTATTTTTGACTTAGTTGCTGGCTAAAAATAAGGGGTGGTCCCATGGTCATTAAAGCCCCTGGACAGAGTGTGCTAGAGTAGGCCTGCCCTGTACGGCCTGCCCAGAGGCTTCTGTGCTGTGCTCAGTGATAGTCACTGTGGCTGCGGCTTCCTAGGAAGGCTCAGCCCAGGTTCCCGTGGCCTTCCTGTGGCCCCAGCAGACGTGGCTGTTTGTCATCTAGCTGCTGTGCACCCTGTCTCAGCAGGAAGCGCCTGTCCCAGAGATCAGGCTAGCACCTGTGTGCCTGGGCAGGGTGGGAGGGTGAGACACTGCCTCGGTGGAGACCTGTGGGCTCAGGCTGGGCGGAGCTGCCGCACCAGCTCAGCTGCCCACCACCAACCCCTCCCACGGACGTCTGCCAGAGAAAGGAGCTGGGAGGAGGAGGGCCTGGTGGTCCCAGACTCATGGCCTAAATGTCAGGTGCCAGCAGGCTTGGATCCAATCTCCCCCACCAGGCTGAAGCTGATGCAGTTGCTGGCCACTGAGTCACTCTGGTGGCATTTAAGTCATTTACACACCACCCTCCTCAGCTCAGGGCTGGGAGAGCTCAGACTGAGCTGTCCATCCAGCGTTCTGGGTGCTGCTTCCTGAAGGTGCGGAGCCAGGGGTGGTGCTGCCCAGGGAGGCCTGGGCCACTGGGCCAGGCGCTGGGTGGGATGTTGAGTCCATCTCGTCATGGCCTCCTTATAGCACTGAGTGCCCTGCAGTCCCTTCAGCCCATCTCCCTGGCTCCTGGACAGGGCTTGGCTCCGGTCTCTGGGGCCTTCACTCTGGCCCTGGCACACAGCAGGCAGTTGATAGTGTTGCACGAATGGATTTTCTCTCTCTGGAGCACAAAAGGAATCCTTTTGTCTATTAGAAAGTGCTGTGCAGCAGGCTTTAGCCCTGACTTTGGAAGCGCCAGCCCCAGTAGGACAGGGGACTGGCCACTGAACCCTACAGTAGTCAAGAGGAGGGGCGCCCAGGAGCACCCCTGCACGTCAGCGGCTCAGGAGACCCCCGCCCACAGTCTGGGAACGAGGGTTGGGAGAAGCCCTGAACCTGGAACCCACTTTTGCCCCCACTGTGGTGGTTGTCCCCCAGCCCAGCGCCCCTGCCTGGATCAACTGCCTCCAGACGCAAGAAGGGAGATGGAATCCTGTTCTCTCTTAGACACTTAAGCGAGTTTCACAGCCTCAGTATTGCCACGTGCTTTACTAAACAACCTTCCTGTTGAAACAACATGGTCCTCCTCCAGTCAGAGGAGGAGCTGATTTGTCCCTTGAGATCATGCAACTGGCAGTCAGTCACCAGAACCCTCCTCGGGCCCCCGCTGTGCTGGGGTCCCCTGAAAGCTCTCTCTCTCCCCGTAGCAACCTTAGTGTCCCGAGCAACCCTGTGCAATCCGCGCAGTCACAGTCCAGCTACAACCCCTTCGAGGACGAGGACGACACGGGCAGCACCGTCAGTGAGAAGGAGGACATTAAGACCAAAAAGTTGGTGAACAAACGCTTCCCTCTGGTTCCCACCTCGCTCGCTCTGTCTCTCCCTCTCTGTCCAGGGCCCTGGCCTGGGTCTTGCCATCAGCATCAGTGGCGCGTGAGGCCCTGCAGGAGGCGGGCACCTGGCGCACTGCACACCTGGCCCACGCCTGCCGGTGGACAGCCCTGGCGTCCCCATTTCTTGGGGTGGGCACAGCTAACAATCTTTGGTTGCTTTTTCTCTGTCCTCCATTAACACTTCAAGGCCCGGGCACCACCACCACAGGAAGACAGGCATCCTGCTGGGGACCTGCAGGAGTGGGGCCCCCATGTCTGCCTCTGGGGCACTGGTGTGGGCCACCACCAGCCCCCTGCCTCTGCCTGTTGGAGGCTCAGGTTGAATGTGGATGGCATGAATTCTCACCAGGGCCTGGCTCCACCATGCTGGAGAGAGCTGTGCGCTTCTGGAAGGAGCCCTCAGCCTTGCACCTCTCACAGGGCGGAGGCTCTGGGTGAGGCCTCGTGCCCTCTGCCAGCCCCTGCTGAGGGCCCTGTGTCACCCCCTTTCTTGCAGTGTGAGCAGCTTTGAGAAGACCCAGAGCTACCCCACTGACTGGTCAGATGATGAGTCCAACAACCCCTTCTCCTCCACGGATGCCAACGGGGATTCAAACCCATTCGACGAGGACACCACTTCAGGGATGGAAGTGCGAGTCCGGGCCCTTTATGACTACGAGGGCCAGGAGCATGACGAGCTGAGCTTCAAGGCTGGTAGGTGGGCTCCCGCCAGCGCCTGGGGACAAGGACATCCAGCCAGCCAGGGGAGGTTTGCATTTTGTTCTAAGCCTAGTAAAGTTCCTGCTATTCTCCCGCGCGAGTCCTCACTGCCGGCCCTGCTGCTCTCCAATTTGGAAAGCAGCCGGTGCTTGACGCCAGAACTCAGGAAACAATGAGGCACCTTGCGCCTTTGCCCAGACACCCGTGTGCGCTGGGGCTGGGAGCAGGGCATGGGCAGCTCACACAGATCAAGCTGTTGGCCAAGACCAGTAGGCTGCCCACATGCAGTCTGGGAGCAGCCAGCCCTGCAGGTCCCCAAGGGAGACCTTTCCACAGGGGTCCCAGCTGCCAGAGGAGCCCCCAGCATTTGGTGTGTGACCTTGGGCCAGGTGTGGCTTTATGTTAGGCAGCACCTTTCAGACGTTCTTCCTACAGCCACATGTGTACACACCTGCCACGCTTACCTGTGTCGCCATAGCAGAAACTATGCTTTTACACAACAGTCTGGGTCCTTCCTGTGTGCTCTGCTGGTGGTGGAGATTTCCTATATGATGCCTTTTTTAAAAAATAAAAAAACTAATTACAGTTTACCAAAATGGGCTGCAGCCTTCAGTGTGAAGGCACTTAGAGCCTGTAGAGGAGGCTGGAGGGGCCTAGGGCCAGAGCAGGCCACAGCAACCTAAGTTCCCCCTACCTTGCCCCCTCCTCGATGCCGTCCTGGGGCCAGCACCCACCCCTCCAAGAACAGGCGTGCTGGAACAGAACTCACAGGCTGAGGCGTGCCCCTGCCCCTAGGCTATGCGTCCTGACGACTGCCTCATCCCCCTGCTCGGGTGGGGTGGGGCTGTGCCCAAAGGCCAGGCTCCTGACCCAGCTTTAGCTGCTTCCCCTGGGTGCGCAGCGGTGCCCGCCAGCCGTCCCCAGATACTTGCCTCTGGGGAGGTCATCAGGTTCCTCTGGCCAGTTTTCGAAATTTTGTTACTGCCTTTAAGCCATCTTTGGCCAGTTTTCTGATATCTTTGGTTGGGGTTATTACCTCTGACTTTGTTATTTGTTTTTAATTTCTAATCCTTTTTCAATCTTATTCAATCTATTATGTTTGACAGTAATTTTATAGGTTTAAAATGTTTCCTCCAGGTCCAAGCAAATTGTCAAAAGCAAACTGATTGAAATGAACATTTGTAACCCCCAGTTCACATTTGCATAACTCAAGGTTTCCTGTCTGTTGTCTGCTTTCTGTGGTACTTTGCTCCCTTACGATGCAAAATGAGCTCCCAGCCAGCGCGCTTGTCTCCCAGCTTCCGCGGCGCCCTGGCTGCTGGCTGCCTCGCTGGGTCGCGTGTGCTGCAGGAGCCCTTCCTGGGTGGACTTCCCACCTCGTGACGGCTTCACATAGGGGGCCTTCTCCTAGCCCCTGAAGCCTGGAGTGGGGCCCGTGGACGCAGCAGCCCAAAAGGCAGGGCAAGGGAAGCATTGGGCCCTCGTGGCGGAAGGCTGGGAGAAGATGGCTGGTTCCTGGTGGCCGCTGATGCTTCTAAGTCAGATTTGCAGGACAACGGGTCTGGTGGTGGCAGCAGGATGAGTCAGTGTTTACATGCACTGTCCCAGGTCCATTGTTGTTTTAACCCATATTCTCACAGCATCCGCAGTCCACAGACAAGGGAGCAGAGGCAGTTGGGCCGTCTCCCAGCGGTGGAGGCCGGCTTTGGATTTGAGTCTGGCAGTCCCGGGCACCAGGAGCCCCAGGTGTTGGCCCCGTAGCATCGTGACCGTATCGCTGCCACTTCTTGGAGACATTGCTAAACCAGGCACACTGCCTGCCTGGGAGACCTGTATCTGCTTCTGAACCGTGGACCATGGCAGGAGACAGAGCTGCAAGCTAACCGTGAAGGCAGAGCAGCATGGAGACTACTAATTTCCACTAGTGGCTTCTTCCTGAGGAGGTCTGAGCCAGCAGGTCCCTGTAGCCTCTGCAGTTATCACCAGCTAGAAGCAAAAAGGCCTTCATGGGCAAATGCTAGACCCAGGACCCTGCCCTGGCGCTACTTCCCCCATCACTGCCCTGGTCACTTTTTTAAAAAAATAAGTATTTATTTATTTACTTATTTATTTTGAGACAGAGTCTTACTCTGTCACCCCAGGTAGAGTCACTGGCACATTATAGCTTCACTGCAACCTCAACTCCTGGGCTTAAGTGATCCTCCTGCCTCAGCTTCCTAAGTAGCTGGGAATACAGGCATGGACCACCATGCCTGGCTAATTTTTCTATTTTTGGTAGAGATGGGGTCTTACTCTTGCTCAGGCTGGTCTCGAACCCCTGAACTCGAGCTATCGTCCCACCTTAGCCTCCCAGAGTGCTAGGATTACAGGCAGAGCCACCGCACCCAGCCCACGATTTTGATCTTGTCCCTGTCTCCTTTAAGACTGGGCTCTCTCTGTTCTTCTCATATCTGTATCTCCTCCTTTACCAAAGCCTGGCTTTGGTAGGGGCTCCTTCAAGTTTGAACAAACAAAAGATAAACCACACTAACACGTACAGCCATGGGAGATTCCAGAACAGTGGCAATGGCTTCCACCTCACAGTGTGGGGAGGATTGTAAAATGTCATCTTGTATAAGGCCTGAGCCACGTGCAGTTACGGCTGTCAGATGTGGTCCCTGCCCCTCACACAGCCTGGCATCTGGAGTGGGGATGGGTTAACAAGGGCACAGTGACCACAGCAGCAGATGCCGAGCAAGATACAAGAAGAGCAGAGGGGCCCAGGCAGGGAGGACGGCAGTGGAGAGCGGGGTGCGAGGGAGGGCATGGCCTGGGAAGCATTCTCCCAGCCGGAGCAGGCAGGGAGGCGCATGCCCACAGCACTCGGCTCTGCAGTCTTCTGTGGGAGCCATTGCGGTAGCTGAGAGCTGCTTGCTCTGGGTCACTGTGTGCGACTGTCCTCTCTAGACTCTCAGAGGCCATGTGACCAAAGAGGCAGCTTAAAATGCAGTGTATACTACGCACAGTGGCTCACAATGGAATCCAATGACTTGAGGCAGGAGGATCATTTCAGCTCAGGAGTTCAAGACCAGCCTGGGCAACATAGCGAGAACCCATCTCAAAAAAAAAAATTAGTTGGGCATTGGAGGGTGCATCTGTAGTCGAGCTACTGAACAGGCTGAGAATTCAAGGCTATAGTGACCCATGATCATGCACTACACTCCACCTTGGGCAACAGAGCGAGACCTCGTCTCTAAAAAAGGAGGAGAATGCAGTTTTAGTAGAGAACTACCCAGCCCTTGCCCTGCCCCCAAGTGAATCCCTGCCCCTCCCCCAGGGCAGAGACCCTCCGTGGCCCCAAATCATGCGAAACAGCTCTCCAACCCATGGTTGGTGTCACCCGCCCTCTCACAAGACCTTTCCCTCTTTGTAAAAGGCGAAAGATTTATACGATCTGAAGAGAAACCAGAGTATCCTTTCCCTCTTTGTGTGCAGGGATGAGCTGACCAAGATGGAGGATGAAGATGAGCAAGGCTGGTGCAAGGGACGCTTGGACAGTGGCAGGTTGGCCTGTACCCTGCGAATTACGTCGAGCGATCCAGTGACGGGCTATGGGGCAGGCCGGCAGATGGACGGAGTGGCGGCCAGGAGCTGCGGTGCCTCCAGCGGCACATGGGCATCCACTCGTGTTCCCCCAGAAGATGAAGTTCCGTTGTTCTTGGCTTCAGGGTGTCCCTGGCAGGCGGATGAGCTGGTCACTTCACTGGGGACGCGGCACCTTTCCGAGTGCAGCTGGAGCATCTGAGCGGAACAGCAGAGAAGGAGCGCGCCCTGCCGCCGCCGCCGCGTCCGCTGGCTTATCATGGATCTGTATGCTCTTGACCTTGTTCCTCTCCTCCGAGTCAATGGGTTACGCTGATTCTAGTTCACTGATCACTTTCTCTGGCGAGTCCTGTCACTTGAACTTAAATGAACAAACTTACATGCCATTCTCTGAGTAAAGATTTTGAGGTTTTTAATTTAAAGGCTGTGTACAGTTATACTTTTTTTATACCTGTTCTTCCATTCATTCATACTTAAATTGCCACACAGATGGATGGACACCAGTCTCCAGGAATCACTGTCTCCGTCTTGTGCTACACTGTTAACCAGCCGCCTCTGTGCGGAGTGAGCGGTGGGAGACTGTCGCAGAAAGGTGGCGCATGTCACGGGCTCCTACCGTGCGCGGCCCTCTGTGCTCCGGGCGTCTGAACGGAAGTGTCGGATACAAGCCGTACGCAGTGCTCCTAAATCGCCATATTTAAAAATCGTCACTCTAATCTTGCTTAAAATTACTCTCTTACAAATAACAGTCTTATCAGTGATTGGAAGGTTAAAAAGTAAGAAGACTAACTTTTCAAGCAACGCATCTGTCTCTGTGTATATCTGTGTATATTATTCGTGTCCAGAGAAATCTAAAAAGCTTGTCTACTGTTTAATGAGATTTGACGGCTTTTGACAGTGGCTTCATTTGTAAAGTGCGTGAAGTCTGCGGCATCCAGGCCAGGCCTGGCTGCGCTGGCCCTGGCCCAGGCACAGATGTGGGCGCTGGGCCCTCCGCGATGGAGACGCTGGAGGGGACTTGGCCTTGGGCTTCACTCTTAGGCCCGTAGCAGAACACTGTAAAACGCCCATGTCTTTGCAGCCGTCGCACGCTTCCCAGCATCTGTTTCCTTGTGGGCAACAAAAGCTGGATCTCACCCACAGCACAGGCCTCTTGAATGTCTTAGTCGCCAGAGAGCCAGGGTGTGTGGCCAGGAGCTACACTGTGGTCACGTGGCCGGCGGGTGGGCCGGGAGATTCTATTTTATGTTAACTCAGACGCGTGCCGCCCCCGCCGCCATCACGAGCTATGCATTTCGCCCTTTCCAGCGAGCTCGGCGTCTTGCTCGGAAGTGGACGTGTGTCTGTGTCTGTCATGGAACTTACCAGCAGAAACCCTCATCCTATGCTACAGATTTACCAAAATTGTTGTC